TTATCTAGTATTTCGCATTTTCTTCCATAAATTAAATAAAATAGTTGTTGATGTTGAATTCATTCCAATTAATTATATAGTTGTTCACTAGCCTCAAGGTTGTTATTTATCTGAAGAAACTTAATTTTCACGAAGTACAAGTATTTTTTAATTAATTTCAGTAATTAGTTGTTATTATTGCATAAATTAAATTAATTACACAAATATAAATAAAAACTAGTCTCGGCCCAAATTCCAGTTTATTTCACTGTAATATCACCCCTAGTAGTCAATAGAACATTTAGAACGAATTTAGCCTATTTTTAATTGCCTTTTGTATTTTATAGTCAAAAGTGGGAAAATTATCAATTAATTGTTAAAATTGGATTTTAGGTTTGAAAATTCGTAAAAAAAAACCAGAAAGTCATATTGTAGTTCCAGAAAGTTTATTTTGACAATATCTTATTTTTGTTTAATTTTTGCTATTATACATATTTAATTCCTTGTTAATGTTTAATTTATTTACCATATTGTTGAATGCAAAAATAATGTTTAGTAGCTAAATTTGTTTTGGGCATGAATTGAGTAAAGGAATATGGATTGACTTGTTAGCCGAAAATTAGGGGTTAAAATTAATTAATTGAGCTAGTTATCCAATTTGATGAATTAGTAATTAATAATTGTTAGCCAATTTCATTAATTTAATTTTGGAAGATTATTTCTAACTTGTCTATGAGATTAGAAAGTAATTTGAGCCAACTTTATTCAAGCACATTAATAAGGCCTAGAAATAGGATAATTTTAATGAAATGGATTTACATCTTGTCTATGAGAAATAAATTCAAATTGCTTAAATAATGAATTTAATTAGTTAATGAATTTGGCTATTTTTATTAATTAAAATTTTGGAGAATTATTTCTGCCTTGTCTATGAGATTAGAATTTAATTCAAGTCAACCATTTTTGAATACATTAAAGTTATATTTAAAATGTGCGCTTTATATTAAAATGTGACAAGTACAATTTTAGCAAAACTGGAAGTGTAGTTTAATTAACTAAAATTCAACCTGTTTTATTAAATACTTGAATGTAACAAGTGTAGTTTAATGAAAAAAATCTAACTAATTTTTTTTAAATAAAAATTTGAAGTAATTGGAAGTACAAAAAAGAAAAATTACAAGTGCAGTTTAATGAATAAATTCTAAGTAAAAAAATCTAACTAATTAACTAATAGTAATTAAATTTATCCTATTATTAAGTAAAAAAATTACAAGTAGTTTAATGATTAAATTCAAAGTAAAAAAATCTAACTATTTTTCTTAAATAAAAATTTGAAGTAATTGGAAGTACAAAAAAGAAAAATTACAAGTCTTGTTTAATGATTAAATTCGAAGTAAAAAAATCTAACTAATTACCTAATTTTTTTCTAACAAGTGTGACTTTAATTAATTGGAAAATGAGAAATGTAACAATTAACTACTTTTATACTTTAATGAGAAATATAGCAATGAACTAATACGAAAATGATAAATGTAACAACAGTTAGCAACTTTTATACTTTAATGACAAATAAACCAATGAACTAATAGGAAAATGAGAAATGCAACAATCAACTACTTTTTATACTTTAATGAGAAATGTAGCAATTAACAACTTGTGTACTTTAATGACAGATATAGCAATGAAAAATGTAGCAATTAACTAATTAACAAATATTAATAAAAAATGTATGAATGTGTAAACTAAATTAATGGGAGTGTGAGTGTATAAGTAATAGGATGAATTTAAGTACTATTAATTAAAGTGTAACTAATATATAATATATTGTTTATAGTATATAATATATAAGTATACTACTATAAGATGATTAGTACACTTATAATTAATACTTTAATATATATATATATATATATATATATATATATATATATATATATATAGAAAGAGAGGGAGAGAGAAGATGAGGTGAGAAATCCCCCTTAAAATGAGAAGTGAGAAGTAATCTCAGCCCTTGGATTTGCATCTAATCTCATAACGCAACAAACTTATAGACCGAATATAGGAACTTATAACCAATAAATCATAACTTATAAAGCTCTCCATCGTAATTACGGAAATGCCACCGCGTCAAAAAAAGTTGAAGGTTTATGGAGTTTTTTTTTGCGGTGGCATTTTCGTAATTATTTTTAGGGATATATAAGTTATGATTTATTGGTTAAAAGTTCATGTTTGTAGTCTATTAGTTACACTTCGGAGTTTTCAACCTAAGAGCACTTCTCACCTGATCCGCTCCATATATATGTGTGTGTGTGTGTGTGTATTAAGTAGATGTGATATGTAATTATAAGTAAATAACAACAATATAATAAGTAGACATTAAGTAGATATGAAGTATATATTAAGTAGATAATAAGTATATTAAGTATATAATAAATTTTAGTAATATAATATATGTATTTATAAGTAGATAATTAATATATAAGTAGATATAATAATTGTATAAATATATGTAGAGAGGATTGGAGAAGATGAAGATGATTAAGAGTATTAGAGAATAGAGAGTAGGAAGAGTTGGAAAAGTTGTGTAGAAAATGTATAGAAAATAAGAATATTTATAGATTTTTTTGTACCCACATCCCCCAAACCTCCAGGACCCCCTTCCAAGCCTCCAAGGCTATAGAGCTGTTTGGAACTTTTCCCAACAGCTAGGAGGAGCATTTTATTAAAAAAAAAAGTTAAAAAAATATGGTCATTGGAGGCCCAGACCGAGCCTGGAGTCCCTGGACCGACCGCTTCATTTTATGGCAACCCGAAGCCCGCCCCAAAAATATGCGGTTCGGGTAAAGTGCACCCGGCCCAGACCGGGCCGCGGGTCGGGCTGGTTCATAACAGTACCGGACCGGACCGGTTTTGGTCCGGTTGATCCGGCCCGGGTCCATCCTTACTATTTAGGGAATAAAATAAAAGGAACTCCTACTTTGAAACTTTTTCAATGTTTTAGTCTTATTTAGGGTAACAACTTATTATGTTTTCATTTAGTCATATTTAGAAAACTACTAATTGAATTGAATATTTGAATATAATCAATTGAAATATATTTGAAAAGTTAATCAAGTCAAATACAAATACTTTTTTAATTTCAATCACTTAACAAATATTAATTCGATTGGAGAAGAAGGTAATCTAATTCATATCGAATAGAGGGATATTCTGACTCAATTCGTGCCGTTTATAACCCTACCACATCTGTCCCTCATTGGTATCCCCTTTTTTAAAAAAAACTGCTGTTTAGCCAATTTGATCTCGTGGGCGGAAAAGGTAACGAGTATTCAGCTCCGAGAACGAGAATGAAATTATTGGTCAAAAAGAAAGCACTCAATTGTGTGCTACAACACTCCATTATTTAGCTTTAAGGAAGAGATTCTTATTGCCTCACTTTATCGAGGCTTATACGTACCCGGTACCCTCATGTGGAGTTCTAATTTTTAGAGCCATGACTGTGAGCTCATCATCACTACTCGTCCTTTTTTGCATCACTCTATGGATACATCAAACTTAATCTTCCCTTCTAAGAAGGCCTCTGCAATTACCAGGGATAGAACACCACTCTCTATCTGTTAGATTAAGATTAAAATCCAATTTACATCCTCCCAACATACCGTTCGGTCGGGGTTGGGCCGTTGGGGGGCCTCAGGGATGGGGTGTCAAACTTAATCTTCCCTTCTAAAAAACAAACTCCCTTCGTTTATTAAAAGTTTGCCAAGTTTGACCGACACAGTCACACAAAAAATAATAAAGTAAATATTGTATGATAGTGTTTTATGTAAAAGAGTCATAAATGACAGGAACCATAAATTGATTGATTAAAAGAAAAATTGACAAATTTTTTAGGACATCCAAAAAATGAAAGATGAAAAGGTTTTAAAAGATGGAGAAAATAATAGATACATATTAGAGATATTGCCTTTCAACCGGAAAAAACACCTTTGAGAGGTGTGGTAAATGTCAGGGAACATTTATCAAATGTTAGTGATTCAAAAAAGTACATTACATATCAAAAAAATAAAAAATAGCTTAAATAAAACCAGCCCAAAACAAAAGGGTACGAGGATGCTTCGGTTAGCCCTAAGACTGGGTCAGAAAAATCAAAAACCGGAAATTGAATCAAATTAAACCAAACCGCAACCAAATAAAACCGAACTGCTTAAAATCCGAAACCGAATGTAAAAAACCGAACCGTAGTTGTTTGGTTCGGTTTTTGTTTTTATTCTTCAAAACCGAATCGAACTAATTAGTTTATCAAAAACAACGAGATTCAATACATCAATAGTCTTTGATTTCTTGTGCTAGAGAAATAATGTTTGTGTTACATTTAGTTTAGTTTATAAATTCATTTAAACATTCATTGCCTGTAATAATGTAGTTATATCGAATGATGACAAATTTTTACTAGTTATTAGTAGTAACTAATTTTTATTTTTATGCAACTTAATGATTTTATATTGATAAAACAATAAATATTCATCTCAACTATGAACTATATGACTATATCACATAGAACGTATATATTCACGAACTTTTTTCGAAACTAGTCACAAACAATGTAAATTAATAGTATATACACTTTTATAATACAATGTAAAATAATACGGGGTAGTATATACTCATAATTCAAGACGTTTATTTCATCTCATTTTTATTTTATTTGTTGTAGTGCGCTTGATTCTTTATGTAATATGTTTGATCCCTCTAAGTATTATATCAATTTTAAATCAAATGACTATTTTTGTTAAAACCCCAAAAACCGAAACCGAACCGAACCAAACCGAACCTATCAAATCGTGGTTCCAAGTTTTGGAGTGTACAATCGAACCAAAATCGAATCAAACTTTTAACTTTGGTTCTATATTTGGTTTTTTGTCAAAACCGAATCAAAATCGAACTCATCCCTAGTTGGCCCATCTTGCGAAGATTTGTAGTGCTAGTGGCTCTGTAGCATATTAAAATGGAGTGACAAAATAGGAGTAATATCTTATTTACTACGCAAGATAGGTAAAATAAAGAGAGCTTACATAAAACCATCCCAAAACATTAGGATTATTTACTTACATAAAACCCCTATTTTTGGAAATCACCCTCTTATTTTTCATAAAAAACTTTATTTCTAATGTATAAATAAATAAATATGGGGGCAAACAGCTGAATGAGAGTTCAGTGTTGGGGGAGCTTTCAGCATATTGGTACATGTGCATAAAATTCAGCAGGAAAAAATAGATGGTTTCTTACCTTTCTTACTTCAATCAAAACGTTGTTTAAGTGCATTTTGCACCTGGTTTTGGAAGAAAGAAAAATCTGCATACAAGGCGGACTGGCACAAACAGATTAGGCAAAAGGCTCTCGTATTGATGTTGGCAAGTTTAGTTCTGATTCGAACTCGGCCAGGGGAGCAAAGAAGCTGTCAACCATGTCCTTCGTAACGTCCTCCAATCGTGGCGGATCCCACTGTACCATTTATTGATCATTCAAAGATATCAGATAATACCAATCTCATCATCTGTCATTTTTAGCTACTCATGAAAGTGGAACGTTCAATACCTTTGGAGCAAAATCCTTGTCAATTAATCTTGCACGAACACCCTGCATAAAAAATAGTGGAATTTATCATTCCCACGTTTATGCACAGCGTTTCATTTATAATTCAAGAGCATTTTTTTTCATCACCTAATGTTCAACATTTCAGTTTTATCCTTCTAATGTTTTTTATTTCAGAAATATTCTTGAACACTAAATGCTAACCTTAAACTCATAACCACAAACCATATCCTACTTCTCAGTAAAACAGAAAACATAAAATTAGTTGAAGGCTAATCAACAATCACTTAAACTTAGTAACACTTTTAGGAGAAAAAGGAAAGGACTACCTCACAAAAATCACCAGAAACGTGCTTCAAAATCCAGTTCACAGATACACGATATTCACTTGTCAGACACTGCTCAAGTGGCCGAAACCTTCCTTCCCTAATCTAAATGTTCAGCAGCAAGAGTTTATATTTTTGGTTAAAATTGAAATTCTTCCTAAAGAAATGAAAATGCTTAAACAGCTTACTGAATTCAAAGTGACTTTCAAGCTTAACGGAGAAGCTGCTTTTATCTTTTTGAGAGTTGAACTACACCATTCATCATACGACTCAGCAGCCTGCTTCTCCTGAATAAACCATTTTTTCACATTTTCCTGATTAATGAGTATTGGTTTAAACAAATACAACAAACCTCAAGAAGTTAACAAATTCTTCTCTTAAAACTAAAGAATTTTCCTGAACACTCCGCCACTCCGTCAGTATGTATATGATGTGGGGCTTACCAAAGCTTCAATTATTTCCTCAACTGTATCTGGACTGAAGCACTTATCGATCATTTCAGACCTAAATAAGCATGGAGTTAGAAACGAGACAAGAACAATAAAAATTGCTTGAGAAGAAAGTAACTGTGCCTTGCACTCGGTAATTTAGGAGATTATGGCAATGTTACTCAAGTATTTTAAAATCACAGTAGAGAAACAAAGCAACAAGTATTCTGTATATCCTAGTCATATTATGGAATGATAATTTATGATGAGCTGACCATGATGTTTGGTGGATGGAAAATTTTGTCCCAATAAAGATTAATTCCATGTATCTCTAGGAAAAAAACAGTCTAACCTATCCCTTCCTTTCATTTCTTCTGCATGCAATTTCCTAAGACTATGTTTGAATGCATTCCTTGAGAGAAGGGACATGAATTTTTGGATTGATGTCAAATAGGGAGTGGAAGTAAAATAAGTAGGTTTATTTGATTGGATTACCCATGACAAATGGAAGAGAGTAGTTAACTTTATTACCATCATGTATTTCCCAAATTAACCCTATTCTGTGAGTACTTCAATTTGTAAGATGATGGATTATGGAATCAGGATTCTAAAGAGAGAAAGAGACCAAAAGTAGGAGGTATTTATAAGTAAACTAGGCTAATCTAGGTGCTGACACGCGTCTTTCTGTTGGTGGAAAGGCCTAATAATAATCTTGAGATCTATCACATGTGAAACAAGTCTGTGCTTGGTGGGAAAGCTCTTCCCCACCTTCTGATTTCAAGTCCCGTATACTCCCTGTCTCCATCAGAAGCTAAACCGGTAAACCTACGATGAATCACATTTTTCTACCTCTCAACATATTTTCCTCTTTAAATTGGAGAGATTGGGTTGAAAAGAAAGAAAAAAAAATTAATTTCTACTCTCATTATATAGTCAAATCCGAACAGGGTAAAACAGTCGTAATTGCATTACGTTCACGCTTTCCTTTATCTCCATATGTTTTTTCTCTTTCTGTCAGTTATTCATTCTGAATATAGTGTTAATGATAGGAATGCTGGACTATAATGAGTTGAATTAGTAACGTGTAATCACAACGGGAAACTAGCCACATGTATTATTATTACTTTCTTGCATGACTTTTCCAATAAATAAAGTTACAGTATTTATAATCATTTTTATTCCCAACAAACTTGGATCTTTATTTGATGAGCTACACATTATGCAGCTGCTGGTGAGTGAAGAAGATTAATTGCTCTTGCCTATGGCGATAGACCAAAGAGATTCATGCATTGAAAAGGAAGAGGTAAGATGAGTTGGATGGAAGAAAACTTCCAAGAATACTTTTTCTTTAATCATTTCCAACTCGTCCTTTATATTGCATTACAGTTACCTCTAATCGAATTACACTTGAAATTCTAATTGATGATAAATGAAATAACATAAGAAAGTTAATCAAACAATGTGCCACTGATTCAATCCTGCTGAAAATCTAGTTATAGTGGGATTAGCCCAACTTGTATAGAAACCCTAGTGCCTCAATTATAGCTATAAATACCACTTGTATAGAGCTATTAAAAATCAAGTTTCACATTAATAAAAATCAGTTCATATTGTTCACGTGGTGTCAGAGCCCTGCCAGTATGGTGTTCCGAAATTCCGGTGAGTAAATCCATCGTGAACAGTTGAAGCAATTGGCGTTCGAGCACTTCCGGTAGTGAAATATCATATTTACAGTTTTACACCTACCGCCCCATTCTCAGTCCAACACGCTGCACCCTCCACGTGCCACCATGCGCCACCACCGCCAACAACTGCCACTGTTCCACTTTTTGCAGGTCTATTATATTCTGCTCGTCTGACTTCAACACTGTCCAGATCCTAAGAATAATATGGTACTGGCGAGCCAAACCAGTCAATCTCGTACGCTTTCCCCTTCCCACGTGCCGTCAACTTTCAAACGCGCCGCCGCCACCTTTCATACGCGCCGCCACCACCTTTCATCCGTACCGGCGCTGTTTGCACATGTCGCCATTGTCATTTTCCAACCGTTGCCGCCACCATGGCACCATCTACTTGCTTCGGTGCTTTCACGCACTTGTTGCTCATAGTGAAAACTCTGCTGTTTTTTGGCACTGTTTACGTAGTTTGTAGAGACTGATTTCTTAGCAGTCGTTTTCCTTGTACTGATTTTATTCTATGTAAATAAAAAACAAAAAAACAAAAAAATGTCTACTAAATTCTCTTCATTTGCTTCGGTGCCCATCATCACCACCGATCGTCTGATTGGAAGTGCTAATCATCAATCATGGGCTAGTTTTGAGGAGATGCGGTTCAATGGTCAAGGCCAAGTTGAGGACTTAATTACAGATGGACAGACGGTCAAAGAAAAGAGGACCGAATGGGAGAACATGGGTGCACTATGCAAAGCTTCATCTTACATATCAATCCTATCGCACATGCAAACACATCTAGGAAAAAGCCTGAACAATCTATACCACTGATATCCAACATCTGTTTTCATTTGGCTCCAAAATTGCCACACTCAAACAACAAGACTTGGACATTCAAGATTTCTTGTGACGGGTTGACGCATTATTGTTCGAGTATAACTGCATTCAACCCATCACGTAAGACAAAGAGAAACAACGAGAGCAAAGACAACAACTTGTTATGGTTTTAACCTTAGCAGGTCTTCACCCAGAGATGTTATCATTTGTGAGCAGATCCGCTCTGGTTCTTCAGTTTCAACTCTGACCGAAGCCTTTGCTAGAATCCTTCGAGCTGCCCCAATGTCTACCGAGTCCTCTTGTGATCCTGTCATTCTTGCATCCCAGGGACAAGGGATACACATGGCGTAATTGACCTAAGTGTGATTTCTATCATAATATTGGTCACATTACGGATAGGTGTTGGAAGTTGCATGGTAGACCTTCTAGCTCCGTTCAATACTGCTGAGATCCCACCATTTAGAGCTGTGCTACCTCCAGCTGAATATGAGGCCTATCAGAAATTTAAGACATCCACTATGACTTCATCAACTTCATCAACAGGCTCATGGATCATTGACTAAGGTGCCTCTCATCATATTTCCGATCATCCCCGACTTTTATCCCATAATACCAAGCACCACAACCTTCCTTTGATCACACTTCCGCTTTCATCTATACCACTGTTCTAAAAGTCGCTCTAGGTGCCTGACTAGTCTCCGTCTAGGCGATAGACATGGTCGGGCGCCCCAATTTTAGACTACATTGACACATTTTCTCCCGTAGCAAAGATTTTGTCGGTTCGTTTGATTTTATCGATGGCAACAATGAGTCATTGGCCATTATTTTAATTGGACATTAAAAATGCATTTCTTCATGGTGATTTACATGACGAGGTTTATATGAAGCAATCACTTGATTTTGGTGCTCGGGGGAGTCTCGTTTACTGTGCAGATTACGTTATTCTTTATATGGCATGAAACAATCTCCTCATGCATGTTTAGAAGGTTTAGTGTGGTTGTTCGCGGATTTTGCATGACTCTGAGTGATGTTGATCATTCAAAAGTCTATAGACATTCTGCAAGAAACAAATGTCTTTTTCATATGGTTGACTTGCATGTGGAATAATAAAATAAAAACTGTATGGTTGAGATTTGTGCAGAGGAGAGAAAAATAATTGAAGCCACATATTTGTTACTTTAAATGGAAATGACAAAGGTTTATGAACGGTCAAAAAAGGAAAGTTGGCCAAGTTTTATGGGACAGAGTTACTATGTTGATGACCTTGTCATTACATGTAATGATGACTAAGAACTGGCCAAGCCCAACTCAAGAAATATCTCTTCAGCAAATTCCAAACAAAAAAATTGGGAAAATTGAAATAATTTTTTGGTATTGAGGTCTCCCAATCTAGAAATGGGATTGCCCTCTCTCAAACAAAATTTGCATTGGACATTCTTGAACAGTATGAGAGAGTGCAGGCTTATAGAAACACCAATGGATCCAAATGTCAAAGTTTTGTCAGAACGGGGTACCTTTTGCCTAATAAGGAGATATATAGAAGGCTTATTGGAAAGATGAATTACCTCCATAGGCTCCACCACATGACAAGATACTTCATTTGCGGTAAGTGAGCTTCATCTATTTCTTGATAAGCCATGCGATGGACATTGGGGTACAGCTATCCAAGTCTTGAGATGCATCAAAAAAACATAATGGCAATTGGAAAGGATTGCTCTTTGAAGATCGAGATCACTGTGAAATTGTGGGATATTGCGATGCGATGTAGATTGGGCTGGATGCCTTATGGATAAACATTCTACTTCTAGATATTGCAACTTGATTAGTGGAAATTTGATTTATTGAAAAAGTAAAAAACAAGATGTGGATGCCAATCTAGTGCTGAAAGAGAATACCTTGTCATGGTCCTTGCTTTATGTGAAACCTTGTGATCGAAACATCTCCACAATTAATTAAAATATGGAAGCATGAAACCCCCCAAACTTATTTGTGACATCAAGTTGCAATGCAGATTGCTTCAAATCTTGTATATTGTTAGGGACCTGAACACTACCAAGAGATAGAGCCTTATTAAGTCATTTTAGTTTTGTTCAATAATAGGGTTTAGGCCCTATAACTTATTAGAAGTGGGCTGGCCCATTAGAAAGAGAATAAATAAGGGTGAGTGGGGATTAGATGGGGAGGCAGAACTTGGGATCGGGACTGGGAAATTGGGAGTGTGAGGCCACTCGAAGAGTCTCTATATTTTCTTACGTTATTTTCAGTATTCCTTCTATTAACTCTCAGTAATAAACTAAGATTGTCTTCTGGAATTCTTCTGTGTCGTATCATTGGTATCAAAGCCATTGACGAAAGCCTTACCTGCGCATGGTCTTGTCCCGATCGAGAATGGAGCAACGTGTGGAAAATCTGGAAAACACCCTAGCGGAAGTGAGAACTGCCGTGAATGAACTGCTTGGCTTGCGTGAGACCGTGGCCGAATTGAAGAATATCATGTTACAGGGTGACCGCCATAAGAGAAGAGGACGATCAACCACAAACCGTCGTCGCCATACTTCAGCAAGCGTGAGCTCCTCTAGTTCTGAAGGTAAATCTCATGAAACTCACTCAGTTTCACGCAGCCCTTATCAGAAGAGAATCAGCGACCGTGTGTATACTGGAAGAAAGGTCGATTTACCACTTTAGTGGAGACGATGCTTATGGATGGCTGATTAGGGTTGAGCGCTATTTCAAACTCAACCATGTGGCAGAAGAGGATAAAGTAGAAATAATCTTGATAGCCATGGCCGGAAAAGCTCTGAACTGGTACCAATGGTGGGATGAACAGGCTGATGACCATTCTTGGGTTAACTTCAAAGATGTTTTGTTCTGGCGTTTTCAACCTGCCTTAGTGCAGAATCCGTTTGGTCCTTTGCTCAGTATTAGGCAAACTGATTCTGTAATGGAATACCGGGATCACTTTGAAATGGTTTTAGCTCCTCTCAAACTTGCTGACCAAGGGATGTTAAAAGGAGTGTTTCTCAATGGCCTTAAAAAGAAATTAGCACGGAACTGAAGTTGCACCAGACCAGTGGGTTAACTGAACTGATGGACAAGGCTTTGTTGTTGGAGCAGAAGAATAAGGTGTGGACAGGGAAAAAAATAAAGAAGAAGACAACATAGGTTGGAAGGAACAGGGAGGAAAAATGGTTAGACCCCGGAACTGGGTAGACGCAACAAAGGGAAGAACACCTGCTTTAAATCCGGAGAGAACACTTTCAGAGAACAAACTGGAGGAATCGCCAAAACCGAGTAAGACATGGGAAGGTGGCCAAAGGTTGACACAAGCAGACTTAGAAGAAAGAAGCAAGAAGGGCTTATGCTTCAAATGTGGAAACAAATGGGGCAAAGAGCATGTTTGTGGAATGAAACATTATCAATTGATCTTGATGGAAGAGCCAGAAGAAGAGGAGGGCACAGTAGATCACTTTTATGAGCGGGATGGAGCTGAAAACTTGTTGGAACCTAATGCAAAATCAGTCTCTTATCATCCACCTTGAGGACAAGGTGGAAGTTAAAGGGGGGAGTGATGTTAGGGACCTGAACACTACCAAGAATTAGAGCCTTATCAAGTCATTTTAGTTTTGTTCAATAATAGGGTTTAGGCCCTATAACTTATTAGAAGTGGGATGGCCCATTAGAAATAGAATAAATAAGGGTGAGTGGGGATTAGATGGGGAGGCGGAACTTGGGATCGGGACCGGGAAATTGGGAGTGTGAGGCCACTCGAAGAGTCTCTATATTTTCTTATGTTATTTTCAGTATTCCTTCTATTAACTCTCAGTAATAAACTAAGATTGTCTTCTGGAATTCTTCTGTGTCGTATCATATATCATGAGAGGACTAAATATATTAATGTTGATTGTCACTTTGTATGAGTCTGAGAGAAAATCACAAATGACCATATCATCACAAATTATGTCAAAACGAAAAGATCAACTTGCAGATGTCTTAACTAAGTCTCGTAGAGGACCTAGAATAGAATATATTCATAACAAGCTTGGTGCATATAATTTATATGCTCCACTTTGAGGGGGAGGGCTGAAATCTTAGTTATAGTGGGCTTAGCGCAACTTGTGTAGAAACCCTAGGGCCTCAATTATAGTTATAAATATACCACTTGTATAGAGCTATTAATTAGCAAGTTTCATATTGTTCACAAATCCCATAAACTACTATTCCCTGCCTATGTAATAAAAAAAATAGTTTATTGAGATTAAAATAGAGGGCATAGGACCTAGCCTCAAGTACAAAGGAGGAATACAAGGGGAACATTAAATTGTGATGTAGGGAAAAGCCTATTGCATCAAACTTGAGAATGTAGGGAAAGCCTGTTGTCGTATTTGAGAATGTAGGGAAAGCCTATTGCATCATATTTTGACCTATTTTATAGCTCCTTTAGGATGTTTTTACTTGGACTGTAATTCGTCCCAGACCAGATCAGACCAGACCAGTTCAGACCAGACTTGGATAGTTATAAAAATACAAAGAAACCAGACCAGACCAGACCAGTTCAGACCAGACCAGCACCTTATTCTTTTCACCATCTCCGTCGATCCATAACAGTCTTACGATATATAGATTTAGAGAGAGCATGATTAAAAGGTGGGTGGGAGGTGAAGGAAACATTACTTGTGAAGAACACTTCTTCTATCTGGATAAACAAGATCACCATACTGAGCAAGAGAGCTTTCAATAACAGAAGGATCATCTGTCATCAATTTACCAAGCCGCTCTTCTATCCATGGAAGCCTCTGTTAGATGGAATATGAGTAGTCCAATGTTAAAAGCAGATCCAGTGTCAGGAAAACATGGTGAACTGCACAGTCAATACTAACTTCTTTCAGTATGTAGTGCGATGCAAGACCACAGGCAACCATTTCCACACCGTTAAGTTTTTCTCCTGTTAAAGCCAAATATTCACCTGCAAATGTAGGAGGAATTGATGATACCTTGAAATAAGATATTGTTCTAAGGGTCCTTGAAATAATACATTTAAAATATGAAGAAATAAATTTCTATCCTATGGCCACAATATCACCCATGTGTGGAAATTGACTAGTCTCCAATTTTAAACAAGACTCTTGCGATGGTGAAATATAGCTGGCATTCTCTGTAGTTTCTAGCCTATAAATATGTATGTTTTTCATTCTGGAAGTGTAGACCAAGAAGTTGTGTGAGAGGAGAAACCAAAGAGAAACTCTAGTGGAAGAGCATGTGTAGTGGGTTGGTTATTTTGAAGTTGAGTGGGCTTCACAGCCTTCACTCCTATAGTGCTAATATGTAATAAATAGAAGACGTTTTCAATTTCAAAAGACGTTTTCAATCTCAAACGTGATCTTGGTTTTGACTAGTTCTACCTCGAAACATTATATAAATGCAAATTTACACATTTGTCACGATATTTTCAAGTTTGGAAACTATGATATAGCTTACGCAGACAAATTATAGGGATAATTTGACTTTGCACCCCGTTTTTGGGTGATATTGGACTTTGCACCCCATTTTCAAAACTTTTAGACTTTGCACCCTATCATACAACATTTTGTGAAGAAAAATTCTTGAATGGGGTGCAAAGGCAAAAACATTTTAGGGGAAATAGGGGGCAAAGTCTAAAAGTTTTGAAAATGGGGTGCAAAGTCCAATATCACCCAAAAAGCGGGGTGCAAAGTCAAAATATCCCCAAATTATAATATGTAAAAGTCAAGAATGGAATGTTGACTTGAAGGATTTGGCAGAGGTCATAAAAAACATAGGCATCAAATCAAATACAATGACTTGATGTTTGGATGGGGACGAATATGAAAACTGTTGCGTAGATTTGGTAATAAATTTACACACATTTTTCATCGTATCTCTCAACATTCAAATGCGAACAAACAGTTAGAAAAGCTAAAGAGTATGTAACAAATTAAGTACCAAGCTAAGATGGCACGCAACAAGACCACACCAGATGAAACGGCTAGTAAACCACATATTATGGAGAAGAACGTCCAAAATCAAGGACACGAGTCAATTTTGAGATCTCATGAATTAACTCAGTGCTACGAAATGGGATCATAGAGACATGAAGCAAAACATATTGCTCATGAGCTCTTAAGCTAATAACTATGAGATGTGTGTTGTTACTCTTAGGATATGTTTACTGCAAACTAAATGGTGCTTATTAAGACGTGTTAGCAAGTGGTGCATAAAATAAGCAGTGCTATAAGCACATGTTTACTTCACATAGTTTAAAATATCGTTTAACATTAAAATGTCCAAAATAACCCTATACATGTATAGACACACATTCATATATACGCAGGTACATATAATATAGTGCGGTGCAATGCGATACGATATAAATACATAATATATACATATATATATACATAATATTCTATATATAATATTAGATATGTGTGTGTGCGCGCATGTGTATATATGTGTATTTCACCAAATTTATGTTGAGTAGGAAATTAGAAAAGTTAAAATTGTGTGATTGAGTGATGAGAACTCAACAACACAGTAGAAAATTACAATATTATTGATGAAGATTTCAGAGCTTAAACTGGATTACAATGGCGTTGATAGAAAGAAAGAGAAGAACGGGTACTATTGAGACACTTCGAGTAGTCTCGCACTCCCAAGCCTAATTCTGAATCCAATTTTGCATGCCTTATTATACGCCCCAACTCATTTTTATAATATTTCCCTTATGGGCCAGCCCAAGCTAACTAGTACCTGGCCCATAACCTTCTTATAATCTATACCAATTATTTAATACAACTCTATTATTATTATACTAATTTGTCAATTCCTATCATATCTCCCCCTTAAACAACCACCTTGTCCTCAAAGTGGATGATAGGAAACAGCCTGGACCTTCAACTTCATCTTCATCATTGCGTCTCTTCCTTCCCAATACCTCACTGATTTCTGGACTAGGAGCTTCATTACTTGAACCTTATGGGCCAGCCCAAGCTAACTAGTACCTGGCCCATAACCTTCTTATAATTTATACCAATTATTTAATACAACTCTATTATTATTATACTAATTTGTCAATTCCTATCATATCTCCCCCTTAGACAACCACCTTGTCCTCAAAGTGGATGATAGGAAACAGCCTGGACCTTCAACTTCATCTTCATCATTGCGTCTCTTCCTTCCCAATACCTCACTGATTTCTGGACTAAGAGCTTCATTACTTAAACCTTCATCATCACTTACTCAGCCTCGTAATTCTCTAAGATTGTCATGGCTTCTTCATACATCCCATTATTGCCATAAGTTTGGAGATTTTCAAGCTTATCTAGTCCTTCACATCCATCAACCATGTGCGCATATAGATGGACCCCACTGTTCAATCTCATTACTTTGTCCACATTGCCTACCTTCAAAATTTTCATTTTCTCCAGCCCTTCAATGCACACAGTGTCCATTCTTGGGTCTGGACATAACCAGAGAGCACAAAGCGGCTTAATGCAGCCTTTACTTGCCAAGACCCTAATTTGATCATGAGAGCCTCCAGAGGTGACATTAGAGATAGCCCATACAGTCTGCTCACGAACATCATCATGGAGTGAGTTAAGAAATGGTAAAAACTTAGGAACAGCACCTTGTTCAATAAGACCCCTTGTCTTTTCAGATAAATAATCAGCCAGATCCCAAGGAAACACAAGATACTGAGTTAACTCATTACAAGATCCTCCAGCGAGGGTATTACGAATCATCAAGTACTCGGTGTTTATATTCTATTTTCTCCTCCAACCTTCCCTAGAGATTTCAGCCACATCCAACGCAACACGTCGATCAACAAAAGGAATAATGCTAGTCTTGTCCCTGTATCCTCTTGGAGGCATTGACTCATTTCTGTTTGTAACAATCCCAGCTGCCAACATCCCTTGTATCCTTTTGTGTTGCAAAATTCAAGAACTCTGGAGCAGTAGAGTCGTTGATGAATATCTCAATTGTTGTGTATCCAAGCAGAAATCTGGTCACTGGACATCCTTGACATTGGTTAGGATCCATCTTCTATGCTGCTTGAGATTACTGTGGTTCATTTTGGGTGTATTTCCACACTCTGCACTTATGCTAGCCCTAGATTTTCCCTTTTCATAATCAAAAGCAGAACTGTTAGACCACTTAAGTAGATTCTCTTTCTGGTGTCCACCTTTCTGTTAAGCATTACCTAGTTCAAGCACACCTGAAGAGTCATAGTTTTTAAATACAACTGCTCTGATAGAACAGGCTCCAGATATACAGAAAATTCACATAAGGTATTAAGAAAAACAATTGAAATCTTGTTGAAGAAGAACAGTTCCGTAACAATGGCCGAAGCCCCCAATGAGCCGTAGCCCCCTAAAAGAAAGAGAAAGTTCTCGATCTTCCCAAATCCCAGATTAAAATGTATAAACGGCCTCCTGACTACTCCCCAGTTTTGTCTATTTATGCTAACTAATACACTTATTATTACTTTTGGTTTATTAGGCCCAATTCCTAACATTCCATTAGGCCCAATTCCTAACAATACCCTCCCCCCCCTAAACATCCACCTTGCCCTCAAGGTGGTTGATAGGACACAGCTTCAATCTTTATCTTTTCTTTCATCCTAGCACTTATTCCTTTCCAATACTGGCATGATTTCTGCACCCTTAGCTTGTCTGATTCCATCTTTTTTCCTATGTGTTTCACAGCAGAATTACACCACTGCCATGACATTTTATCCAGAATTGACTTGAAAACTTCAGGGTACTCCTTTATAAGCTCGTTCCTTCTGCCTTCAATTATCTGTACTTGCTTCTGCTTTGTGCTTTGTCCTTCACAGTACAACCAATACCCATCACCTTGAATAACATGATCAGCCCTTGTTTCTTCCATTTTATGATCTGGTTTTGGAAATTAACTTCCATAACACCTAGATCAGTCAACCATTCCAATCCTAGCACCATGTCAGTCCCACCAAGCTCCAACATATAAAAGTTCTGTTGAATTTCATTTCCCTGTACATTCAGCTTCATTCCTTCACATCTACCGTAGTTAGGAATCAATTTTCCATTGCCTATTTGTACCATATATGCCTTGATACTTTGGAAAGGTATATTCCATCTTTCTACCAGTTGCTGGGAAATAAAGTTGTGGGTGGCACCACTATCAATGAGTACATTTACTGTGTTTTCACCTTCATGCCATTCCAGTTTACCTTTTACCTTAAAGGTTTTCACAGGTGTTATGACTTTCTCATCATTTAAAGAAAACTGCATGGTCTTCAATTCTAGAGGTGTGGTCTTATCCCTACCAAATTCCAGTGATTCAACTTCAGAATCAGCTTCACCCTCACCCTCTGAATTCTCCACTAGGATCATTTTATAGTTCCTCATCTTGCAGACATGTCCTCTTCCCCAATTTTCACCACATTTAAAACAGTCCTTTCTTGCTTCTGTTTAATAGTTCTTCTTGGGATAGTCTGGGACTTGCCTCATTAGATACGCAGCTTGGACCTTCCTTCCTGCTTTCATCTCCCCATTTCTGGCATGAAGATTGGATGATAGGAGTAGTCTGCCATTTCCTCCTTCCTTCATCCTTATTCTTCATAAACAAGGTTTCAGAATTCTTGTTCTCAATCGCGGATGCAGTATCCATAACTTCTGCCAACGATCTAGTACGATGTCACTTCAATTCTGCTCTTATATCTCTTTTCAACCCCTTAAGAAAAGCTCCTCTCAAGACTTCTTCAGTTAAGTGGCCTTGTGAAGCGATAGCCTTTTCAAATTTATTTCGGTACTCCTGAATTGTCCCCTTCTGCATCAGGCTAAACAGAGGCCCTAGTGGATCCTGTACCATATCAGGTTGAAATCGCTTGGTCAAAGCTTGAGTAAAAGAGTCCCAGTTTTGATGCGTAGCCTGCCTCTCCCACCATTGAAACCAGCTGAGAGCTTG